AAAACAAGACTCTACACAAGAAAACACTGAAGTGTACACGGTGAAAACCATGATGGTTGGAACTGACAGTAGCCATCCATTGAAAGACGTGTTGAGAACTTAGCATCTTAGCAATAGTAATGAAGCATAGAGATAGAAGGCGACTGAGAAGAGCAAAAGCAGCCCAAGTGAGCTGTCAGGTAAATGTACAAGACTATGTGAAATTTGATCCCCTGAGCCAGAGGAGTGGGGTGGAACAGACAGAAGTATACAAAGAAATAATAGCTAGACATCTCTAACACTGTATGCAAAACCAGAAAGTCATAGAGCCAAGAAGGTCAGTAAAACACACAAGTTGGAAATACAAAGGAAACTACAAATAGGAATAGAATCATCACATTGCTCAGGACTGCTGTTTCCTCTAGTGATAAAAACAAAATGTTCAAGTATCCCAGGAAAAATACATATTACATGCAGAGAAATGACCGTAGGATGACAGCACATTTCTGCTAACCCAGGTCGAAAGAGAAGAAAACGGAGAGCCGCTAGAAACACAGAAGGCAATGCCCAGCTTAATCCAGTGTCCATAACAGCCTCTTTCTGAGCAGAAGATGAAGTTCAGTTAAACAGTGTAGAAACTTACAGTTCATTGCAGGCAGGACTGAACCACACAGAAATGTTTTGTGAAGGCACAGGAAACAGAACTCTATGTGTTCCATGGATCCATACAGAGAAAGAAGGCACTCCAAAAATGGTGACCACTGAGTGTGCACTTCCTGTATGTTAACTCTCTCTATGGGTGAATATGAAGTTTAAACAAAATCAACACCACCTTAAAGAGACTGCAATGCAGAAAAATGCATGGCAGTGGAAAAAGGGAAAAAGGGAAGGATTATAAGGGTCTCATGCTATGTGTGAAATAAATTTTTCATTGCAGGTAGGCTGTGTAAATATGTACAAGAAAATGCTACAATCATAAAATGAAACTTACGTTTAGTAAGCCATTGTGGACATCAAATGGATTCAATAAATTATCATGATAAAAATTAGGAAAAAAGAGAAGAGGAAGCCCAGGCTGATTAGGTCAAAGTCCCACATTCTCATACTCTGCTGATAAATGAAAAGTTGGAGCAACGTGTGGGAATGAGATCTTACAAACTGAGCATATGCAGCATACAGGAAGTATATATAGTTCAAGTAGACTGAGCACAGAGGTTAACTGTTAGCTGTGGGGAGATAAAGTTTGTCAACAAGAATTGGAGGAAAGCTGCAGTGCTTTATTAATATCAGGAAGCACAGATTTTACCGCAAGAGTTTTATAGAGGATACTAAAAGCAATTATACATTGCAAAGGGAATTGTTTTCATTTTAATGATATGCCCTACCAATTCTTGACGTTTGTGTGCCAAACAAAACAACTATATGTAGAAAGCAACCATCAATAGAACTGAATGGAAAAATAGAAAAAAAAACAATTTTATGCAAAAATATCAATACCCCTTGTCTTCAATAACCAAGGAAAACAAATGGACAGAAAATCAGTGAATATATAGATTACAGCAACACTATCAACAAAGTTGACCTTGTTGACATTGACTGAACACTCAGTCCAACAACAGCTGAGTGTCGTATCATGCCTTTTAAGTCTGTAGAAAACATGTACCAAAATAAACCCAGTTCTGGGCCATAAAACTCAACTCTGTAGGCTGTAAATTATTTGAATCATATAAAGTGCATTACTGATCAGATAAATTTGAAATGAGCAAGGTATTCAGAAACATCCCTAGATATTTAGAAACTGACCCAGAGATCACAGAACAGTCAAAGGGGAGATCAGGAGCCAAGGACAGAGGTTCAGACCCGCAGTCCCAGCCCTTCAAAGGCTGAAGTGGGAAGATCTTGAGTTTAAAACCAACATGACAATCTAGCAAGAATCTGCTTCAAAAAATTTAAAGGGGGGAAATATCAACCAAACTTCCAAGAATGTTGGAATGCTGACCTGGCAGAAGTTAGTGGGCTCTTCTCTTCATAGCCCCAAGTGCCTTTTGGAGAGAATTTCAAAGTAAGAGCATACATCTTATAGAACTGGGAAGAACATGGCCCAAGCCATACTCATGAAAAGTTGTTTCAAATTTGAGTCAGAGCTTGTGAGTGGGTATAATTTTTTCTTTTGTGAATATGTCTAGAAAGTGTTCAAGGCCAAATTAGGTTTCAGGAAAGATCAAAACGAATCTAGATAGTGTTTTAAGCCTTGAAGAGCAAAGAAATGCCCCTGGCCTGAAATACAAGGATACATTTTTGTTCTTGTTAATTGTACCGTTTTATCTTTTTTTTTCCTTCTTCTTGGTACTAGGAACCTCAGTATTAGTTGGCCACATGATTGTAGTGATTAAACTGCTTTTCTTTCAGCCGGTTTGACAGGGAAATAAGATGTGAATTAAGTTGAGGTCAGCAGTGTTATATATGATAACTTTTGCTGCATAAGGTACTCCCTGGGGCTGGAGAGATGGCTCAGTAGTTTCAAATGCTTACTGCTCTTTCAAAGGACCCAAATTCAGCTCCTAGCTCTTATATTAGATGACACACAATTTCCTGTAACTCTAAAACCAGAGAGATCCAGTGGTTCCTGCTTTTGTGGACATCTCCACTCAGACATATATAACAATTTACAGACACACAAATGTACACATAATTAAAAATACAGTAAGTCTAAAGAAAAGATATTCAAACTTTTGAATTCATTGTTTGCCTCGGAACTGTAGCTAACTGGCATGGGCAAACTTTATGGAGATCTTTCAATTGTCTATGCAGTTGTGTTACCTAGGAGGGACTTACATGTCTGCTGATGGTCAAACAGACTATTAACTGTCGTGCAAGGAATAAAGATAATGTGGTTATGTGACTACTCATCTCGTGTCTACTAATTCCCTCCCAGGAGCTTCTTTAGAAGGTAAGCTTAGAGCCTTAAGTCCAACCAGAGGTCATGAATTCCCAGGTTTACATACATGTTCAAGCCCCTGTATAGAACATATTTGCTATCCTATTGGCCAAAGATAATCAACAGGTAACGTAAGGGCAGATTTTCACCAAATATCATGGAAACTATCTGTTTGAAAGTGTTAGCTTAAGTAAGGATTTTTCTGTGTAGCTTGACTGCCTACCAATTTGCTGTGGCTCAGACAGACTCCTAATTTGTGACAATTCTAATTTAGTTTTTCAAATGCTGGGATTTCAGGTATGGGCCACCAGCATTTTTTACTTGTAAATATATTTTAAAAAGGGAAACAGGATCTTCTTTTAATATATGGATGGGCAGGGGTTAATTGGAGACAATAAGTGGATTTATGTTATTTCACTGTTGAAATGTATCTGCAAAATGAAATGCTTAGAATAAACGGTATTTTCAGCTAATTTTGAAGTAACTGAGTCAAGTAGATGATTTTTATATAATTATAAATCCTTATGCCATTTTCTTTTCAAACCACATTTTAGGGTATGGCCAATATGGTAGGATTTTAATTTGTGTGTATTACACAACAGTTTTTAATCTATGAACTGAAAGTAATTATCTTAAGAATTTGTGCCAGAGTGGCTCACATGGAGACCATTATTTTGGGGAACAAAATACTTTGATAAAGCTCAAGGCATTAATTTAGATTTGGGGGAATATTGTATAAAAAAGTAGTAATAGTCATGTGTGAAGATAAAAACAGACATGATTTGCGGACAGATTTGTGATAAGACATTTAAATGAAACACTTAACAAAATATACAAGAGATAAGTTTTGACACAAAAGGCATCGATTTTCTACCTTTGTCACTCTCCATTGTTCTTGGTCTTTGATGTATGGGGATGTAAATGATTATTTGACAGTCAGCTTGTGCCCAGGCTTCTGGGAGTACTTGCTGCCTGTTTGGAGAGGAGGATTCACACTTGTTAAACACCAGCAAAGAGTTAGGCCTGAGTTTCTGAGGGATGTCCTTGAGATGGCGGCAGTAGGAAACTGGGGGACTTTAGCATTTCATAGCTAGGTGCAATACATGCATACCAGTAAATGACAGTTATTTTTGCAGGAGAAGCCGTATCCTTCTATTAGCCAATTCCACAGTTTCTGTGAGGCTGGGTAAGCCGGGAAGTGTGAGGTACAGCAAAATACAAGGTGGCATTCTCCAAGTGCCTGCCCATATTTCTATGCTCAGCCTTGGATATTGGAGTCAGTCCCCTACAACTCTATCTAACAGTTTATTTTTTACAACTTAGATGTTTGTACATCAGTTGTTTTATCTTGAAATGGTGAATCTAATAAGGTCTCTCTTCTCACATGAGGGAAGATGAGGCAACGGCGAGACTTTTAAATCTTTAACCTGAAAACCCTTTCCCAGATATTTAAAACCACATGTATAAGCGACAATATTAGCTCTCCATGACACACACTTCCTGTGAAATGATACCACAAATAAGTGAGAAAACGTTGAAGTATTCCTCAAAGAGAAATGGGTAGAGATGCATATCAGGGTTAGCCTTCAAGGTTGTGCTGTTAATCTGCAAAGGACTTTAATAACATTCACACTTAATGGGACTGTCTCATCATAGTGAGATTTTTTTCTTAATTTAAAAACCTAAATGCTAAAAACAGATTTGGAACAACTAGATAGTAAATGAAAAGGGTGAAACCAGGAGCTGGAGTTGAGAAGATTAAGTTAGCTGCTAGCTCTTTTCTATTTTCAGGACTTGGATGTCTATATTCTGATTTCTTTATATAGACCTTAAATGCTTAATTTCCCATTTCCCTTTTCGTACTATACAACTGACTTCCATGGGTCTATTTTCATTCACTTCTAAATTTTCTCCCTGCCGAAGCTTCCCATGTTTTCTGTCATGAGGGGCACAACCTGATCGTCTTCTTGTCTGTTAACATTTCAAGACTTTTTCCCCCTTCCCTCCCTATCTTGTATCTAATGAGCAAATTATCTAAAAATAGATATGTTCATCATTCTACAAAATGTTGTATCTTCCATAGATTGGAGGCCAGTGTGATTGTAAGAGACAAGTGTCTGGCAGACAGTGCCTTCGGTGCCAGGATGAATTCTATGACCTGCAGGCGTTGGATCCTGATGGCTGCCACCCCTGTAACTGCAATCCCTCTGTGACTGTGGATGGAGACATTACCTGTCACCAACATTCAGGCCAGTGCTGTGCAAAGTGAATGTTATTGGTACGTGGGATGCACAAGTTTACAGTCACATTTCTATTCTCGTCTGGGGAGAAAAAAGCCTCTATTTGATTTCTTAACTGAAGGGTAAAGCAGGTTTTCTTGCTCAAGGCTGGGGAAAGAACAGTTTGGGTGGAATTAACTGTCTAAAAATGACTAAATTAATAATTGCATCAAACTCTTGTTTGAAGCTTAGTTTAATCAACCCTTTAGAAGTTTCTTTATACGGTAGATACATTAGTGACAGGGACTTAACTAATAAGTCATAGAAAAATATAATTTGCCTGCTGCATAGATGTTTCTTTTAAAAATTAACACTTTTTCAAAATGTTTTACACTTAATGAGTTCTAAGCAAATCATTTCCCTGCTAGTTTTAATAGACTAAAATAAATGGATTTTTTTCAAAACATTCTGTGCTAAAGGGTACTTTGTGATAAATCTTTCCATTTTTTCTATTATATTTCTTTGAACTGTCCCTATGAAATGCAAAGCAAGTCAACATAATTCCACACATCATGTTTATGGCTAGAGTTACTTATAAAGGGTCACATAATTTTAATTTTGTAATTCTGTACCAAGCTGATTATAATAAACAGCGAGCTTTAGTGTTATTTATCATTTTTTTATACAAGACATGCTTTTTTGTTTGTTACTCCCACAGGTATTTTTCAGAAATTAGATTTGATTATAGCAATTTATTACATCCAGCTTTTTTGAGGGAAACCACCGCCACATAAGGACAAAATTTATCAAGTGCCCAAAACGCACCATGTACATAATGCAGTTTGAAATTTTGATGTATGAGAATATTATGAGAGGGAAGTTTGCTGATGAAGTGCACACTGTATTCTATCTGAACATGCCCCGGTTCCTGCATGAAGTTTAAAAAAGACCTTGACATTTCTATTGTCACTCAAGAAACCAAGTACTGTGTGGTTTTACTGACACTGACCTGAACTTCAAAATAATAAATGTGGCTGGCAGTGATATCTGCACCACATATACATGTGCACACATACACACACACACACACACACACATGCATACATATGCGTGTATATGCATGTACTTACATGTAATTCTGAAGTATGTATATATTTATGTAATATAACCCAGTCTGTTTTGCTTGCTCACACACACACACACACACACACACAGTCCACAGCTCTGATATACAAACATTTTAATTAATCTAATTAAAAGATGATGGGCAGTTCTGATGACATCACACAAACAGCCTCTGGTTTAAGAAAAGGTTGTATAAAATGGTGCAACATCACTCCCACCTTTATTTATGATAACTAACAAACACCAACTTTTAGAATGGAAGTCTGGCTGAATTATGGAGAAGTGACATGTAGAATTCATCGTGTGCCTTTCTTTGTTCTTGGGCATGAGACATGTTTTAAATTCGAGATATAGAAACACAAGTTAAGCCCAGGCCTTTGTACACAATGGAGTGGGGCTTCTCTATTTTAGTAAGATCCCAGGTAGTTAGGTCCTACAGCTTGAAAGAGAAAGAAATTTTAATTACCTAAAATTTGTCATGACCTCTGCCATTTACTATTGGCAATTACTCATTTTATTGGTTGCTGCATGTAGTGTCCTGCAGGAAAACATAAATATGTATTTTGTGAAGATTAAATCCTCACTTTAACAATATTATAAATAATGATTTCTAGAGTAATCTCTGCAAGTGAAATACTTTTAATAAAAACACGAACTTGACGTGAATATATATTTTCCTAATAGGGTTAGCAACCATCCTTGTTGAAGATTACCTCGTTAATAGGAAAAAACAAACCCCCAGAAAACACAAGGGTGTGTTGTATGTGTTTCAGAAGGCAAACTGTTTGAGTTAACAAAACTGTTAAATCTTACTAATGATTCTATCACCAGTAAAATACATTACCACCAATAATTTTATTAAAGTAGGTCATTCATCTAGAATAAAAAGGGAGAAGAATGTGAATTAAATGCCAAGTGTGCTAACTCGCCCGCACTTGTTAGCTCCGAGTGTGATGCCCTGTAGGCCTCCGTGAGTATCGTTAGGAATAGATTACCTGTCAGGAATATGTATGGCGTATTCAAATAAGCACTGTGCATATTTTTAAAACTGATCTGATATGAATCCATGTAGACCGATTTTAATAGTTCAAAATGAGTCATAATTCTTGTTAACAATACAGTTATTTTTAAAATTTGCAGCAATCGTGGTCCTTTTTTATTTTCCTTATTGAAATTAAATGATATGCCTTAGGTGAGCTATTCATCATTGTTAGAGAACTTGCCTTCTATTGGAGTTTGAATGAATTTTTGTCCATATACAGGCATATTATGCATTTTCCTCCAGCTTAGGGCTGCCTTTCCCATATCAGTGCCTGAGTATGTATTTGACTCTTGTTTTAGGACTAATTCTTTATTACAATTATACAATTATGGTTTGAAATAGATGTCTCAATTGATTCAATGCCACGTGGCCAGGTATTTACATTCATGGGTATATGGAATCTGTCTAAAGGGAAGGAATTTGCATCTAAACATCACTGTTGATTTTCTTAAATTCCTTTTCTTGGCAACGTCCTTGTTGAGACTAACCTAAATTGTCAGAGGTTTAAGTTTAGGTGACAAAACATTTTTCTCCATTTGTAAAATGCATGTATGTGCCCCTCTAAAAAGAAACAACATAAGGCTCTGAGTTTATGTCATGTCTGAACCAGGTGTGTTTCGAATCACATGATTTGACAAGCAGTGCGCTTGCCTCATGAGCCAAGGCAAGCATAATTTATATTAATTGAAAATGATAAAATATAGAGTATACGAAGGATTAAAATAAAATATGCACTGAATAACTTGTATTTATGTCAGTTATTTAATTTTGTAATGGCTGAAAGTAAGTATATATGCACTTGTCACAAGACAGGTATGAGACCATTTTTTTTATCTTCTCCCTCAGCTTTTAAAGGTACAGTAACAAATAAAAATTCGGTGTATTTATTGGAGTACAAGGTGGAATTTTGGTATGTGGACAATTTGTGAAAGGATCGCTTGAGGCTAATTGATGTGTCTATTGCAGATATCCTTATTTGCAGTGAGAAATATTAAGATTGATTCCCTGGCTAGCTTTTAAGTATACACTGTAATACCATTAAAATACCATTGTGACTCCAGTAACTGTGATAGGGAACAGAATTCTATAACCCGTTTATTCTGTCTAGTTGTTGCTTAGTACTTTGCTTACCCTCCTAGAAAAATCTTTCTGGTTCTCTCCAGGTAGTTTTGAGTTTCAGAAAATTAACTCAGATGCCCTGTGCATTTTTATACTGCAAAACCCATCTTATTAAAATAGTTTTGGTGTTTGTGGAAGTAGGAAAGAGTCCCCATGCATGCAACAGAGGTACTGTGCTGCATTTTATGTTGCGTTGATTAGCGATGATTATCCTTGAAGCTCACTGCTTACAAGCCGCATGTGAGAGCCAGCAGTACTGCCATAGAGGTTTGCATGAATGGCTCTTCCATGTTTTGCATCTGTGTTAAATGTTAACCTTCAGCCTTCTTCCCTGTTGCTATCCCATGACCCTCACCCTCTCCCATGCGCTTTGTATGCAGGGCTTCGATGCAATCGCTGCAATTTTGGATTTAAATTTCTCCAGAGTTTTAATGATGATGGATGCAAGCCCTGCCAGTGTAACCTCCATGGCTCAGTGAACCAACTCTGCAATCCACTTTCTGGGCAGTGTGAATGCAAGAAGGAAGCCAAAGGACTTAAGTGTGACACTTGCAGAGAAGACATTTATGGGTTGGCCGGCAGTGCTTGTAAGGCCTGTGACTGTAGCGTGGCTGGCTCCCAAGCTTCAGGACCAATTGTGATCCTGATACAGGGCTGTGTTTCTATAAGTTCAACGTTGGAGGGAAACAGTGCAGTCAGTGTTTTGAGGGGTACTTCAGCCTTCAACAGAAAGATTCCTTCCTCTGTTTGCTTTGTGACTTCAAGAAGCCTAGGACAGTAAATGGCTCTCTGTTGTGTGACAAATCAACTGAACAGTGTCTTTGCAAATCAGGAGTAACAACTTGTCTGCGCTGCAATCAGTGTGCATCTAACAGGTTCAATTTGACGATGGGCAGTCTTCAAGGGTGCCAGGTGTGTGTGAGTGTGACCCTGCCAGTGGCCAGTGCCCATATCTGCCTCAACAACAAGGAAGAAGGTGTGAGCAGTGTCAGCAAGGTAGGAAACCAGCTTCTTTTCAGTGCAGTGACCACAGGTGACCCCTTTGTTTCTGGTCGCTGCTTCTAACGAATGGCCTCCAGCATCATTGCTGCATTGATGTCACCCAAACAGAGCTGTTTGACTTGCTTGAGTCTGTCTTGTCTGTGCATGTGCTGTTTGTGGGGGAGGGGGATGTAGTTCTGGATTGAGGCATGTTATAATTTCTTACCTTGACATGGATGTATAGAAATCTATCCTTCCAATTGTTTCCTGATGAAAGTAAAAGACCTTTGCCTTTTTAAAATTTTAACTGAAGTGATACTTTATAGTACATTGATCACTTTAAGTGTAAGTAGTTACAGTACAGCTGCAGCTGTATTGATTTAGGAGAAGGGCCGGTGTTGGTTCTTCTCCAGGGTCTTTGACAGTCTAGTCATGGGGCCTTGGCTAGGTTTACAGTGACAGGCATGTGTTCCCTGTTATTCTTGCCTTGAGTCCAGGGAGATAGCTGTTGGTTACCCCCAATATGTAAGTGCCATTATTTCGCCACTAGGGATATCTTGTTTGCCCAGCAAAGAGAGATCATGAATTCAACAGGGGGTAGTAGAGAACAGGAAATGGGACAGGAAGTGGGGGAATAATGATGTAAATATAGATTCTTGCTCCTGTGTGACTTTCTGAAAAAAAAAGTTGGTCTATTGGAGAGAAACAAGATTGATAAAGATGTGATCCATGTATATGAAAGTCAGAAAAACATACAATTATAAGAACAAGGCTAAGATCAGGGGTTCTCAGGAACTGGTAACTGGGGAAAGGGATTGACCCTAAAGTAACACCAGAGGAGGTTCAGGTAAGCTATATAGCCACCAGTTTGTTAAAATGTATTCAAATATGTAAGGATATCTAGAAAATGTTACTTTTTATTTAAATTAGAAACAAGGTTGCTTCACATGGCACAACAGGTCCTTCTCCCTTTCCCTCCCCTCCTCCCACGTCCTCCCACCAACCCCCTCCCAAGCCCCCTCAATTCCCCAGGGAGTGTGAGGCCCTCCATGGGGGGTGTCCATAGTCTGTCATTTCATCCAGGGCAGGGCCTAGGCCTCCCCCAAGAGTCCATGCTGAGAGAGCATCCCTCATTGTGGGATGAGCACCCAAAGTCCATTCGGATGCCAGGGATAAATACTGATCTACTACCCAAGGCCCCATAGATTGCCTAGGCCTCCTCACTGACACCCACATTCAGGGGATCTTGATCAGTCCCATGCTGGATTCCCAGCCATCCGTCTGGGCTTCAAGAGCTCCCCCTTATTCAGGTCACCTGTTTCTGTGGGTTAAACCAGCCCTGTCTTGACCCCTATGCTCATCAGTCCTCCCTCTCTGTCACTGGGTTCCTTGAGTTCAGCTTAGTGTTTAGCTAAGCCACCTCTTTTTTTACAGTTACAAGTTGGGGGAGTCTGATTTGCTTCATTATGGCAGGACATCTCCCTCTGAGCTAATTCAGCATACCCAGAGATGTCAGGACCCTGAAAATGAGCAATGTGTCCAGGAATCTACTTTAACACGGTGCAAGGAGTGAATGTCCCGGGAATAGGATTGCCTAGAGCCAGGCTGATGGGCTGAGCATGGCTACTGCTTCTGTGCCTTTTCCCCTTGAGCAACCTCTCAAATGTGCTATTGAGGTTTCACTATCCCAAAGGGATTTTGTGATCATTGTTTTACAAATACTTTGCTTTGAAATGTCGTCAGATTTTCTGAGTATGGTCTTTTGCATGGTGAATATGCACACTCTGCATCCTTCTTCCTGGATTCCAAAGGGGGATCTCACAGGTCCCATCTAACAGGTTCCGCCCTTCTTTCTTGATGATGAAGGAGGATCTAACAGGTCCCATGCTGTATAAATGACTAATTGTCTTCAATTACAATAGAATGTTTCATTCTGGATGAGTTATACATGCACTGAGTGTCACCTATTTTAAACAAGTTTTCTAATTTAGGATAAAATTCTGAAACAAAATCTCCTTTTGGTGACTGTCTGATGCCTCATCCAGGTGTTTTGACATTCTTAATAACCCTGACTGTGATTTTCTGAGTGTTCTGTGTGTTATGTCAAAACAGACACAGAGAAACATAAGCAAAAGGCACACAGACAAAACAGCAGGCTTCCTTTCTCTATGCACTGTGGACCAGCACTTCTCATCACGGTCCTCAGCAGGGGGCCTCCATGGTGTCCATCCTTCTCTCCTGCCTCCCATTCTGCTTCTGCCTTCATGCTTGCTCTGCAGTGCAATACTCCCAGTGTACCACTGCAGACACAGACAGACAAAAGTAACCTGATCTTCATTTGAGTGCATTCTGGGTGGACCTATAACTCTGTTGTGAACTGTGTCTACTCATTCTCTGTATGTTTCTGACACTTTCCAACTCAGACACCATTTTTAGGGTTCTCAGCCACTTCTGGTTTTGGTTTTGGTTTTGGTTTTGGTTTGTGTGTGTGTGTGTGTGTGAGAGAGAGAGAGAGAGAGAGAGAGAGAGAGAGAGAGAGAGAGAGAGAGAGAGAGAGAGAGAGAGAGAGAGAGGAGAGCAAGCACTAGCTGGCCCCACAGATATCCCTGTTTCCATATTCCTAGTACTGGAAAACTGTAGATGCTATTACACTCAACATCTTTTTAAACTTGTGTTCTTGTAAAAGGATCTCAACTCTTCATTCTTGTCTGGCTTCTCCCCAACTCCCAGTTTCTGTTTGTCATAATACTTCGGTTCATTCTTCTTTTTATTTTTATTGCCAACCCGTATAGAATACTTTCGTTATTGCCCAGAATGCTAATTACCAAGTATCAATTTCTTTCTTTTAGAATTAGATTGAAACAGAATTGTATATTCAACATGTGTAGGGTTGGTTGGTTTCTTCCAGTACAATTTCCCATTTAAAAGACTACCTATTTCCCCATCACTCACTTAGTGAACCAGAAATATCTTCTAAACATTAAGCATCAGTGTTTTAAAAGTTAACTTAATTCAAACCTCTATTAATATGTATCATAATACAGTTTTGAAACTGTGCTAACATTTACTTTATGTGCTGTTTATTATTTAAGTTTGGGGAGAAGTCATATTCAAGAGGTTGTGGATACACATCTCACTCAAAGTACTTTAGTTATATTACTTATTTTTCTGAAAGTTGCATGGATCAATAGAGTTGGAGTCAGTAAGAGAAAGAAGCATTCCTTTGTGATAATAGAACACATTTTCTTTTTCCAGCCATCAGTTGATTGTAAAGACAATAGGATACTGTCACTTGAGACAGCGTGCACAAAACTGGAGGTCAGGCGTCAATGAAATAAGCCAGGGTCACAGTGACACGTACTGTGTGAGCACCCTTATGTGGGATGTTGGCATGTTGGGATCATATAAACATAGGATAGAACATAGGTAACAGGTGTAGAACGGTCTGGAAGGTTGGTTTCTGGATATTAAGACATTTTGGTGTGCCACTGTAGAGTGGAGTGATTATGTAGTGTATCAAATATTTTTAAAGGACTGTGCAGAAAGATCGAATAATTTTTGTGTTTGTTTTTAATTTTTAAATATTTTTTATTCTTTGAGAATTTCAGGCAATATATTTTGGTAATATGACCCCCACCCCCTTTCCCCTTAATTCTTCCTATACCCACCCCACATCCCTACTTCCCTAACTTCATGGCTTTTTAAAAAATTTTAATAATCCTCCAACTTCAATTTGTGTTGTCTATATATATCTGCGTGTGAGGGTCATCCTATCTAGTGTGGCTGACCTACAGGAGCCATACCCTTAAAGAAAAGAGATGTTCCTTCTTTCAGAAGCAATCATCTGTCCATAGCTCCTCACTTAGGGGTGAGGGTTCCTGAACCTCTTCTCACTCCATGCTGGAACATAGATTGGCTTGCTCTTATGCAGATCTTATGCAGGCAACCACATCTTCTGTGAGTACATGAATGCAGCACTCCTGTCATAGCCAGAGGACACTACTTTGCTCTGGTCCTCCCTGATCTCTGACTCTTAGAATCTCATTTAAAAACATTAACATTAAAGAATATACAAATATGTTTCATATATATTAAGTATCATGTGAGTTGATTCCATAATACATGTTCTTGTGTATCAGTTTTTTAAAAAAATGTTGAATTAAGTTCAAAACATAACTTGAAGCCCAGTAGGTGTAGGTAGCATTAAAATGAAATTTCTCATATAGTTAAGAGCATCAACCTACATACTGGAAAAAAATGCTTCAAGAGCCCTTGTAATTTTTGCAGAAGACCCAGATTCAATTTCAAGTATCCACATGGTCATTTGCTACCATGGGTAACTCCAGTTTCAAGGGATCTGACACTCTGTTTTTGCCTCTTTTGGCACAAACATATGCATATGCAATGCATAGATATACAAGCGGACAAAATATCCACACACATATAATTAACAACTTAACTTTACAACAGAATGTAAACCTCATATAATGATAAGGTAGTGGGAAACAACAGAAGATAGTGAGAGGATGTGACTTGGAGACCCATTTATTGGGCCTACTGACTTCTTATTGGCCACTAAATAGGCAACTCTGTTTTTTGTTTTTCTTTTTTTGCCAGTCATTCCTTTCCAGGAAGTGGTAGGCAGAGCTATTTGTGAGTACACAAATGGTGCCCATGGCTACTTTCTTCTATTCACCACCTTTTGGTTATGACTGCTTGACATGTCCACAGAGAGCTAGCTGCAAGAGAGGCTTCCAAAGAGAATCTGTGTGCATAACTGCACTTGTATTAAACACATGAGCCCCTGTTATTATAAAAATGGGGAAGACATTGATACAGATAATTAGCAAATAAGAAACTTGGTTGCTGGCCCATCAGCTAATTCTTGAGGAAATCTCTCTAGCAAGAATTAAATTGCCAGTTTTCACTCAGTTCTAATTATTAGCAAAATTTGAAATAATTTCCCAAAGATGACAAAGGCCAGTGGGGCACTGAGGGAATACATGGACAGAATA